GACAGTAACCAGACTGTCTTAATTAAGACAACTCAACATTAGAAAAAAAAAAAAAGCTTAACCCACATTAACAAAATTCCTAGAACTGAAAGAAACTGCTTTTGTTTGGGAAAAAATCAGCAATTTTAAATTTTAAATTTTGTTTTAAAACAAAATAAATGTGCCCAGCAAGGGTTATTAAGGAAAAAATCAGCAATTTTAAATTTTAAGTTTATTTTGTTTTAAAACAAAATAGATCTGCCCAGCAAGGATTATTAGGGCAGCATCACAGACAGTGCATATAGCAGCTTGCAATGGCACAGCAGCGTTACCTATGGGCATTGATCCCAAGTCTGCCACCTTCTGGACTTGGAATATTTAATCTCCAGAAACCTTCAGCAAAACATCATTATTTGTCAGAGAGAGGGGAGTGAAGGATCTTTTTCTTTAGACAAATTGTTACAACTAGCAATGTTGATTCTGCCACATAAAAGTCTGCAAAGGCAATAGAGAAAAAATGCTTCCCTCATCTATAACGTTATCTTACAGACCTCTCAGATGTAACTATTAGCATGTTTTCAGTACAACCCCTCCAGTAACTCCAAGTCTGTGACTGTGAACATTGGAACACAAACCAAGGTGATGATAGAGCTGTCTCATACGTAGCACTGTTGCCCTCTCAGCTTACACTGACAAGTCAAATCTTTTGCATCAGTCATTTCTAAAGAACATCAGCACCACACTCTTAGGTAAATTGCTGTATTGGGCAACAGAAGTACCTAAGGTGCTAATCCTACTATTATCTTTGTACATTTTAAGCCAGTTTAAAGCAGAATTAGGTGCCCTATACTTAATATTTATGGAAACGTGCATGATTTTGAAGCATTTAACACCACATTTATACTACTACTTGTAAAGCACTTCACTTGAGAAAATTAACTTTCTTGATCTTTTTTCAAACATTTGAATTTCAAGGAGCATTGATGTAACTGTACAAGTCAGAGCTTGCTTCATTTCATTCTTCCAGAGAAAAGAGTGCATGCCAGATCAGATTCTGCCCTCACCTGCACATCTGCAACTGCCATTACATAGAGTGGCTATTTGTAAACTACAGTTATATTTGGCTGCAGAAATCTCAGATGTTTGGGAAGCCAGTGCCACGTGGTGTCCCAAAGCAACAGTTTAAACTGTTGCTTCTCTTAATTATTTGTGCTTACATTTTATTCACACACAACAGGCTGTAAGTTTTATATCAATGCTTCCTTGAATGGGAAACTGAATTCCAGCACAAGTGTGCTTTTGGAATTAAACCGCCTCTATCCTATGAATATATTATTTAATTTGTCATTTAAAAGAACGAGTGACAGCCAAGTTCTGCTTTTGTTACTATATATTCAATATAAATATTCCATGCAGCTCTACATACAGACCCAGACAACTAGAGTCTGGTTTAGGCCACCAATAACAATCTATTATAGCCTTTCCCTTGTAAGTATTTGAACTACAAAGACTCAGAAATTGATCATTTTGTTCAAGAAAATATTCTTATCTGAGAAGTTTATACCTTAACAAAATCTCACTATGGCTGAAAAGCCAGAGGGGTTCACACCACCACCTGAAACAGTCCAGGCAATCAAACGCACATCCTGTAAAAGCAGCTTAGAGTCTCCAGCAAGATGGTTTCCACACCAAAGCCATATTATTCCTTTTTTTTTTTTTTTTTTCCTTTTTTCCTTGGATACATTTTGCCTTCAGAAAAAAGCAAATCACAGTTGAACAACAGCAAAGTAAACCTAAGTGTTAAAGGATGTTCTTCCATTTCAATCCACTGTTACTGTCTTTCTGAACAAAGTCACCTTCAACTTCAGCATGTCTTAAGATGAAGTCTTCATTTAGTTTCCTCCCAAATTAACATAATAATTTTCCTCATATATTCAAAAAATATTTTTCTGAATTTCATCTTGAAGGACTGTAATTAATTCTTTACATTAATGAGCACATTAAAACAAAGTACTATGGCAATTCTGGAATGATGACTGTTTCACGTCTTCATAAAGATTCACTTCTAGAGAAACTATGTATTTTAGAAACCAAAAGCTTTGTTGATTTATATTTCAGAGGCAGGGTGACTCAAGAAACATTAATAACTGGAACCCCTATGCAGGGAAATATTTAGGCATCCAATTAAAGTAACAATGAGGCAAACAAGTAGAAGCTTAATTAAATTGGTCTACTATTTCTGTGCTCACTAGGAAGAACCTGTTACACCAACCAAAGGGAGAAAAACTAGCTTTGCTATTGGTAGAGAATTGCATTTGTACCACTCAAGCCATTTACTCCTTAAACTTCTCATAACTTGCATTTTAATCCTGCAAATTCAGGAGCAGTGTTCTGCTTGGATACAGTATTCCACAAAATGTATTAGGTGTGCATTTAAACCTAAGAAAAGATGCAACCATTCTCCTTATTCTCATCAGATTTATTACTTTGTACCAAAACCAGTTCTGCAGGCACCACCTTTTATGTGTAAGCTATCACAAGCACCCCTCTCTCTGCAAACATAGCTATACCAACTCTGCTTTACTTACACAAGGCACCTGCTCTGAACTCCGGTGAGGAGCTGCATTAGCAAAGACAATCAAAAAAACTCCCAAGAAGGAAGTTGTCATTAAGGTCCACAACTGTATAAGCCAACTTATTTCTGCTGTTCGGAGAACTCACTAATACTCTGCTCCCACAGAAAGAGCTCTAGAAGGGGCACCTTAAACACAACAAAGCAGCACAGCATAGAGCAGTCTGGATTCGTGTTTATTGAAGCCAGTAATTAAAGACGTCCTCATTTTGCCAGCACTAGAAAGCAAGATTCCACATGACTGCATACTGCACCTGGTTAAAGCCATACAACTGGACTAAGGTTTGTTTCATACATTTGCAGTCCTAATTGTAAGTTGGAAAAAACCCAATAAACTTAGTATACAGGACAGTGAACTTTCATTTACAGCATGTATATTGTTAAGTTCATGATGTACAGAGCAGTCACTTTCAACGTAGTTAAATTAAATAAAATACGAAATTCTGTTCAGTTTAAACAGTTTTTTTAAACGCCAATAAAAAAAGTGCAAACTTAAAATCAAGCAGCATAACCACAGCATTTTTATGGAAGGCCAATCTTAAAATTTTTCTATTTGCTTCAAGTTGAATGCTTTCATCTTTTGTCTTCTTAGTTTAAACATGAACAGTAGATGCAGTCACTAGAATGCATATAAATATAGTCATATAATAGTTTAAACACATACAAATGTATCTGCAAATAAAATGAAGTATCACTTGAAAATGTAAAGGCTGTTTGCAATTTGGCCTTTGGTTCCAATGCTTGAAGACACCAGAGGAACAACTGTGCAGCTTACCAAAGTTGACTGACTTTGGCAACCACAGGATGCTACATTACTTACAACTTTCTGTCAATAAACTAGGAGCATTCACTTGCAATCAGAAACTGGAAATCTTTCTGTTTTGTCAGAAGCACCTTTCTGCAAAGCTGCTAAGTTATCATACATTATCAGATTTGATCAATTTTAGTATATTTAATGTTTTTATGTAACTGGAAAGTACTTCAAATTTAAGTTTTAGCCATATTGCTAGAGAAAGTGCTTATCAGGTTATATGACAAAAAAAAAAATGCAGTTTCACACTGAGGTTTTCAAACTATACCCCATTACAGTCGATCACACACTTTTTCAATTTTCCTGTCAAGTTTTTGACGTTTTAGCCTCCAACCTCAGTGTCAAGAGGACAGTGTGTAATTACTTCTGGTGTGGTAACTCGCAATTGGCACCTATTACACCAGGAAGTGCATCCACATTACCCATCAGTCATCCACAGGCTTAGTCTAACTGTTATCTAGACAACTGTGTAGCTTCAGGTCATACCATTTATTAAAAAAAAAGTAAAAAAAAAAAAAAAAAAAAAAGAGAAAAATATAGTATTTTCAACAAAGAAGAACTGGCATAAATAACATATTTATGTTAATGTTTGCCAAAGAGGCAAGTAAATACTCTTAGCTTTCTAGATAATGTTTAGACAGACTTACAAGAACAGCCTCTTGATGTAACATAGGATTTTAAGTTAACATCCAGTACTGTGTTAGTGGTCAACCTAATTCTGTATATTTAAGTAACAATATATATTAGGGAAGTTATATCCAGACATCAGATTTAGTACAACAAGTTCATATCAATAAAAAGTAAACTTTGCATAATTCAAATTGTGGTTTTTCCCTTCAGCGTTAAGAGCACAGAATATGCTTGGTATTTTTAACTTATGGTAGTGTGTACATGTAAAACAAGCATACTGTATATAAAATCAAAGTGCCACTTCAGTAACCATAGCAGTTTTGTTTGTTTTTACAGAATGAGGGTTTTATGTGACCGCGGACAGAGCTCCGTTACAGCAACGGGGACAACCATAACCCATCTTTCCAAATGAAATGCTACATTAAAGAAAATACAAAACAAGTTATTGAGCATGTTCATCATGTACACATTCATATTTTTTAGATTACCTTCAGAATTGGAGTTGGCTGCACCTGCAGCAAATGTGGTTGGAACAAGGGCCTTGAAAGGTTTTTTTTAAAAACCTCCACAGATATAAGGCAGGAATCCATTTTAGCTTGGTAGCTAATACTGAGTTACAAAAACTAAGAAAAAAAAATGAGAGTGTTCTGTAGCACATTTCATTATGGGAAAAAGATACGTCACCCATCATTCTTCATAGGCTAGCCTCTTGGCATAAAAAAGGCAGAAGCTATCATAAAAGAGATTTAAAATTAAATACAAATTGCCCAACTACTGATTTTAAAATAAAACCAAACAGTGACTGTTTGTACTACAGTGCACAATAAGTTCAAGCACCTTCTAAAGACACATCACACACTGTGCCAGGCACTTGGATCTAAACAAGTTGTAGTTTCTCCCTTTGTCAGCTACACCAGAAAGGGCATCCACACTCTTAGACTTTTTTTAAAACTAAAACAAGATTTATAACAAGGATAAATTCCCATGATGTTTAGTGTTTGGCCTGGAACTCTCCAACGTAAAGTAGTCTTTTTAAAACAGTGATTATTTACCGTATGTGAAACATAGGATTTAACAACGTTGCTCCTCTCCAGTCAATCCAACATTCTAGTTTCTCACTGTCCCAAACCCGTTTCCCATTTCAGGGCTCCATTCCCTGCCTAGGCTTCTTTCACCTAATTAATGCTCTGTTACACCATCACCACCACCACCTTTCCAAGAATAGAATGCATTTGCAAACGTACAAATAGCCAATTCCAGTAACTCTGAAAGAGGATTTTCTCTTTCTTGCCTTGTGTGCATCAGTAGTAGTATTTTAATATGAATTCTCCATTTTGCTTCTGTGTTCTTCACAACAGGAAATGCAGCTGCACCTGCTTACCTCCAAAACCAAAAGAATTGCCCTATATAAACTCTAAATGGTTATCTTATACAGAGGGATTTTGTATGCAAACTTCCTGAATGTGCACTTTTACTGGGACAAGGCAATGACATAGTAAGCTCATTTCCCCTGCCCCAAGAAATCTGGTAGCATCTGCCATAGCAGAAAATTCCTGGTCTTATCAGATCAATATACATAGTTATTTGGTCATGTACATATGCAGTTTTTATGCGCTATCAAGCTTCGTTCTCTGTTGGAGGAGAGTTTGTTGTTACCATTGAGTCTGGCTTGCGAGTCATCCTATCCAGTTCCTCCTGAACATTTGTCAAAACTGTTTTTTGTCCTAAAAAAAAAAAGGACAAGGTTAAGGCAACCCAATATCAATGGAATGTTTTAACTGATGAATACAAGGAGTCATAAAATTCCTTTTATATGGCATCATATTATTTAATTTCTCCTTATTTCACCACCTACCCAAGAACAAAGGGCATAGCACAATGAAAAGTAATGTCTATGTAAAGACTCAAAAATGTTAAGGTTTGATTCACCTTAAAGAGATTAAATGTTGACTTACACAGCAGCATAAGGCACAAAAATATCTGTGATATATTTTACATAACGAACGTTTTAAAAACAACATTTAGAATTTTTTATGAAAATCAACTGTACTCTATTATTGTAGTCTACACAGTTGTACTACAACTCTATTAGTATTGACAGCAAGGACTTTTATTTAAACCCAGATTTTAACCACAAGTTTTCCAAGGTACAGGACACATGCTATAAAAATCACATTTGTTTGGTCACACTTATACTTGCTGCGCTTTAATATTAAACAACTAACAGGAAGAACTCTTTTATGTCTGCAGACAACACTTCCCTTTCAAAAGGGGACATGAATTGCATATTCATGTAATATCTGGGAGCAGTCATTTCAAAGGACTTCAATTGGAAACAGACACACTGAAGTATTTCACAGAAAGGCGTATCTTACATTTTTATATTAGTTGCAACTTTTTACCAGTTCCCTAACTGAACCATCAGTTTAATTCTCTCATTCTGAAAATTATAAACCCATAGACATTAATTACTAAAATTGGAACAAGGTATTCTAATGCTTAAAGCACACAAGCATTTAAAATTCAAAAGCTGTATTTTTAGACAAAAAGTAGATTATATAACCATGTACTGCTTCCTTACATAGCCAAAGAATTTAACAAGCATCTGTTTTCCAGATCAAATGTGTGTGAAACATTAGGTGGATATTTTCCAGGGTACATGCTGAAAACATTAAGAAGGTTTAAGTGGTTTTTTTCCAAAGTACAAAGACATAACTAAGTGAAAAGGTTACATTTAACCACTATACAGGTTTTAGATTTAAACACTAGTTGTAAGACATAATACTCGTTAAGAGCATCTATTCAAAGCGTGAGTATTTAAACAAAATTTAAAAATTACCACATTAACTGTAATGTAACTTACAGTACAAAACACTTTACATGCAGACTAAATATACCTTGGAGTTAAAAAACACTAAACAATGAAACCCACAAAATTCTTGCTCAAAGAAAAGTGCCTCTAAACAAGAACTACACCTGTTTTGTATGCTAGATTAACTGGATCCTTAAGCCTCCAAAATAATAACAAGCAGCTGTCTCCTGCAACTACCTGCATACTGGACAGGAAAAGCATTGCTAAGCTGTTCAGTGACATGTACATTTACACACTCCCTTTTACCACCACTTCGGTGAGCACCTTTCAGAGGAGAAATACAACAAGATGTTTTCAAGAAAATAAAAGATTTCTTTTCTGTTATAAATGGACATTTCCTTCCAGCCTCCCCACAAAAATGTTGTTGAGAACAGCAATGGCCTTAGTCAATTAGATGTGTTCTGTACAATCGTATGTAATCTCCTTTCCAGATTAGAGTGAGAGCAGGGAACCTTAATTCTTTATCTCCTGGACAAGAATAGAAGGGTCAAGGCAAATCTTAAAAATGTACTTCATTTATATTCATAAGAGGATTCTTGCAAATTCTAAGTCTAGAAGTCCATGTGAAGAAAACTAATCCATCACAGAAACCACCAATGAAGTTCTTTGAAATTTCATGATCTACCCATGGAAGAATGACAGTCCAGAAACATAAAGGCAAATAAGGTGGATGAGGAATTCCAGAGCATGAAAAAGGGACATGACATTGCAGCACCTGCCCAGATGAGAGAGTTCTCTCAAGTAAGGGTTAATGTAGAGGAAACCAATCAGTTAGGCTGACCGGTATGTTGTGATCCAAAATGTTAAGATCCTGCAACAGGATGAGGGAGACATTTCAACAATAGGGTATTCATAGCTGTAGGAGAAACAGAAAGTCTCTGTAAAGCTAAGTATTTTTAGTGTTGACCTTCTGAAAATTCGAGGCTTTTTAAACAGATGTTTAAAATGCCCACAAACACCATTTTAGCATGTTTACTCAGACAGAGGATGATGCCATAAGTAAGACCTTCTCCAAGATATTCTCCTTAATTCTTCCTCAAAAGAGCAAGTAATCTTTTCTGTTATCACCAGCTACCTTATAAACTCAAGAGCTTTTCAGATACCAATGTTAAGGAGCCCTTACTTTCTCAGGAAAGTTTAACCTTACATTGGTAGAACATTAGGTTTGAGCACATCAGCTGACAAGGAACAGGCATGTTGTCCTGTGATTGAAAGCTCATTGTTCTGTTCCAAAAGTCAGGGAATGAGTGTGAGCTGCCAACCTGGTGCAGCCAAGAAAAACCAACTGCAATCTTGAGATCACTGAGGAGAAGCTCAGAGAAAGAGAACTGCTTTACCAGGCACTACAATGAGCTACATCTGGGATGCTGCATGCAACTCTCATCACTCATGTTCCAGAAAAGACAAGCCAATGATGGGAACTAATGAAAAAGAAACTAGTAGGGAAAACAGTCTTCTCAACAGAAGACTAGAAGAGAACTTGTCTAACTTAGTATAACAGAACAAGAAAGTGAAGAAAGGTATATAACTGCTGTCTCTAGATATTTCATGAGAGGAAAAAAATCTATTTAAATTAGAAGTTAAAGCTGACATAAGGGAACAACAAAAAAAAAAAAGCACATACAACCATTTGTTAGCTTTGAAAAACTCCTGAAAGGCACATGATGTTGTAGAAGACTGAAAGAAGAAAAAGTGAAGCCCGTTACAGACCAGCTAGTTTTTAGTCTACTATTTTTTTCCAGAAATTGCAATTATGTTTTAGGCACTTACTAACAGCACACCAGCACAACAATCAACATGGATCTGTTACCAACAAGTTGTGTCAAGCCAATCAAATTTCTTTCTATAACAGGATAACAGGTCCTGTGGAAAAGAGAAGCGGTCGATATCACATTTCATACAACATTCACACAAAAAACCTAGAAAAACATCCCAGTCTTGATATCTCAGAAAAACGAATATATATTGTAATTCATAAAACTACCTATTAGTTATCCATAGTACTAGTCAATATTTTTATTCAGCAATCTGCCCTGTCCAGCTCTTGAAGATATCAGATATGTCAGTGAACATGCTTCAAGGGACTACAAAGGATTTTGAAAGACAGAGTTGAAGGTAAAAAGTTATTTATATAAACTGTCAAAGTGGCACACAAAAATAGGACTGAAAACAATGACTAAGCAAATGTACAACCTTTTGAAATACTAAGGTCATTTGATACAGACTAGAAAACTGTCTACTAGGAGGCAGAAATTGTATTAAACTGGCTGTATTGTTGTAAAAAATCCTGAACATTATCATACATATCATTTCATTATTTTCATAATGAAAAAAGCCCAGCATCACACTGAGATGTCTAAACAGAAGCACAATACATAACACAGATTAAGTAACCCCTATTTAGAGCAAAGCATTGTCTGATGTACTCCATTCATTTCTGACCACCAAAAGGAACAGCTCATCTGAGTGGACAGTCCAAAGGAGAACAGTAAGGACTACCAGACCCATAAAGACATGCCCTGTGAGGAAAGGCCAACAGAACTGTGGTTTTGTAGTCCAGACAAAAGTCACACGCAAAAGGGGAATAGCTTTCAAATATGCAGAAGACTGCTGCAAAGACAAAGGGGCTACACTGACCTCCGTCTCCACTTGAACAAGACAAATAGGACTGGGATTAAGAAATATTGACTGTACAAGAGAAAAAATAACTAAGAAATTAAGTACTGGAATAGGCTTCCTGGAGAGATGACATTACATCTTTTATTTCAGAGTTTGTTTGCTTTTTCATCACTAGCCAGGAATTCCCCAAAGTGATTTTGCTTTAGATAAAGACCACAGATGAAATAATAACTAAAAAAAATATTTCTTGTCCTATTTCTATAGAAAGATGATTTGACATTGTGGTCAGAAATAGCACAAGGCTGTACTTGATGAAGCAGGGGACACCTTTCAACATTTAACTAAGAGGGCATTCTGGACTAAAAGAAATAATTAAATATTTTAATAATGTTGATAAAATAATACTATGTAAGTAACACATCATATGAGGAATTCCGTTATTGTTACCTTTGTAACAAATAAACTTAATGAAGGCAATTTACAGAATTCGTTGTGCTAAAAACCTCAACAAAATACTGGCTTGCTATAGGTCAAGTTCTAGCCATTTCTGAGCTTTCTTGGAAGATAAAATACTTCCCAATTACAAAAACAAAAAGTCCTTTCTCCCCTCCAGGAACAGTTTCAGTTCAAACACCCACACTCCAACAACTGTTCTGGTCCTCTCACCAGCAATATCATCACTGCAACTGGCATTAAATATTTTTCATTTCCTGTTCAGAATGTCTGGGCCTTAGACTCTCCTCTAAGCATCACAAACCCTGGGTTGGGCAACGCCATTAAATTCTACGTGATTTCACAAGTCAGGGATCAGAAGTAGAATATCTATCAATAATTTAGTAGTGAAGCAATTCTGGAAGAAAAGCTCCTGAACATAAGTGTGATGGGAACGCCCATATCAAATAGAAACAGTTAAATAATCAAAGTAGTCAACTTCTGATACCGGGTGGAACAACCACGCGAGTTCTGTACAGGTACAACGTGTCCCAGTGGGGTTCTTTTCACCTCCACGGGTGCAACCACTTATCAGCAAGTATCTCATACAATGCAGTCATAGCCACAAACACAGAGCAAATCCACCTCATCAATATTACCAGTTGTGTTGGATCACAACAGAATACTAAATAATGAATAAGATAATAACTTCAAGTTATCATAAGAAGTAATTCATTTAAATGAACTCTGGAGAGATTTCAATAGTTTGAAATCAAATAAACTGCATTTCCTTCAAGCAACAGTTAAGTGTCAGGAAAGTAAGGAATTTTAAAGTAAAAAAGAAATTAGTACTTCCTGAATATGATCAAAACTCAGATGTTATTTATATCCCACCAGTATAACTTCACTCTAAGAATCAGGTTATGATAGTTTTAACAGAAGCCCTGGAGTTGTGAGGTTGTGGTAGTTCAGTTCTTCTTTAAAAAGACTGCACATTTTACCATTGTTACCTGCCACAGCCTGTCACTTAACTGACCAGTTTAAAAGACACACACAGTCAGATGTGGGCCAAACAAAACATTAAAAATACGCAAAACAGCCAGCACTAGTAAGCTCAATACCTGATTTCTTGGCTGTACTTTGCACTCCTCCGGCACCAGGACTCCCAGGTGAGCCAGTCTTTTTGCTCAAGAGGCTGTTAAAGAAACTAGCCAAGACGCCTTCACTTGCAGCATTATCTAAATAAAAAAACAAATACATATCACAGAATAGTTATTGGTAGTAAAAAATAGAACTCGTTTGTTACATACATTACATACATACATAATACATATGTAACTCTCTTACTAATCAAGGAATAAACCTCAAGTATGAGAGTCTTTCCTTGCTCAATTTAAAGACATTAGTCCTTCGCATTCTTCAAAGTCAGAGATGACTGAAAGGATATTACTGCTCTTCTGAATGGGGGGGTCACAAAACTTTAATCTAAGTATTGGAATGGTTTTGTTTTTCCTAAATGTAGAAGCCAAGAAACAAACTGTTAAGTACGGATGCGTAATTCAAAGATTTGTTAGCCCATGAGCAAACTGCACAGATGTTTTAGGGCAGTCTTTCATGCCACATTACTTTCCCTAAGTCAGAACTTGGATATACAGCAATGAGACACAATCCAGAACTGTATGAGTTTTCCTGTGTCAAAAATTCATTCCTGTTATTAAACTAATCTATTAGTGAATAAATTCAAAAATCTTTCGACAAAAAATGATAATTTTTTTTAAGAGAAATAACACCTGATAAAAACAGTAAAATGCTTATTCATACTTTTAATATTTGGATCTGGTTTCTTAACCGATGTTATTGGTGAGGCACTGGGTACATTGGTGGGACCAGCTCTGCCTTGAGTTCTTGGGGATCCTGCAGGGCCTCTTGCAGGAGATTCCTTAAAAGAAGTCCAAAGCACACAAATCAGAGAAGAACTTAAATTGATTAGTTATATAAAACAAATGTAACATAACATACAAATTACTTTCCAGACCTTGATAGGCACACTGGTGGGGGGAAAAAAACACCAAACAAAACACCACCAGTTATTTTGGGCATGTGCCTCCACTAAAATAAAGGATGAATCACTGTAGGAAATTTTCAGTTCAATTATCATCAGCTATTTCTGTTTTCACAATGAATTAAAATTAAGGTATTTATAAGCAATAGTTAAAAATATTGACACTTATTTTTAAATTTACTTTCTGCAGTTTACGTAAATTCTGTATTTTACATTTACATTTACAAAATTAACTTCTTCAGGTTAGAATTCCCTCTTCCCCAGAGGGAAACAAAACACCACCTACTCTTCTCTTGGATCTACTTACTGATGCTCTTGTAGGCGTTGCTGGCTGTTTGGCAAGGAATGACTGCAAAAATAACATATTAGGAGCATTAAATGCATTTCAGAAAATCTAAAGGAATAAAATACAGTGAAGCTGACTAACCATTAATTTTTTTTTTTTCCTGATACTTACAGGCTTCCTCTTTGATATTTATGTACTTCCAGACTTTACCAGTAGAGGACAGAGTTAAAATGAGTAAATGAGCCTCAGTGCTTTGTCTTACATGGCTGTACCAGAATGATACGGCAGAACCACAGACACCCAAGTCTATAATCTCTATGATACTTATAGTCAAGTATTCAGGAAAATATTATTAGGGTTTTTTAAACAATAGAGCAGTAAAAAAAAAAAAAAAAACACCAAGATACAGTGTAGCCAAATTCGACACCTTGGAAGTCTTTCAAGCCTCTGTCTGTAAGAAAACTGCAACACTAGCATGTTTGGTTTTATTATTTATGGTTTACAGATCAATACATCCATGTTGTCAAATTTCAAATTATCTTCTTGCTTGTCTCCTTTGAAATAATTTACATTTCTGTTCTCAACATATTCTCCTTTCAACTTGCTATATTTTCTACTTGTATTTGTTAAAACAAAGTCTTATTTCACAATTGAATTTGAACCTGCAAAGCTGGAAAGTGACTATCCAGTGATTTAAATGAGGAATGAAAAACAGAAGGCAATAACAATGGAGAGCTTAAACCATAATCTTATTTAGTAAGGACATATATTCATCCTTCCACTCTTACCTGTTGCTTCATTAGAAATACTTGTTCATCTTCTGCTGCCAGCTCTTTATCATGGACTAACTGTTGAACAAAATATTTTGTTATTAGAAGTAAAAAATAAGTTTTTCTGTTTTGGTTATCAAAAGGGGAAAAAAGGCATTAATAATATTCTTTGCTTTAAAAAAAAATAAACAACTCTTCTTTCACTTTCAAAAGAGTAAGAACATCTTTGAAGTTATTATTAAAAAAATATATTATAAATGAATGGAGTAGACTGGCATTGAGGCCACATTCATCTTTTTAGGTTTAGGTATTAATTTCATCAGCACATCTTCAAAAGATGTGAGATTACTTTACTCCATAAGACCCCACAATCAATCCCTCAGCTCCCAGAAGTATTACACTAGCTCTTATCTAGCACGACACTGCCATTAGTTCCTATAGGTGCCAAAGATTAAACCTTCCCTTTACATGAAAGCCTCAAACAGCTCTCTCCTTTTACAAATACTTTGCAAACACACATTAAGAAAACTGTAAAACATTTCCAATACAGACCAGAATACAATTTCATGTACAATCTTCCATATTATTTATTTTATACATCTCATATTCCTGTATGCCTACGCCCACAAAATTACCAGCATCCAGAATTTACATGGATTACTTACTGCCCTTGCCTTATATGAAGAAACTTGTCATTGTGTTAATGCAATAGTGATATACTGTCTTGTTTTACAAGGTTTGCCTTTACATGGTAACCTCAATGCCATGTGTGTACGCATGTCAATTCTTGTAATCCCACAACAGTATTCTCCATTTGTAAAAAGGGGGTTTTGCATGCAAAAAGGTTCATGGAAGATAGTTATTTTTGCACTGCCTTTAATTCACTAAGGTGAATGACTTCTGTGCTTCCATGCAGTATTTTAAACAACTAGAAAATAACACCTGATGTTTCACACGTCTGGACAGAAAAAAAAATTCCATTTAGATTTGGAACTCTTCAATATTAATAGCTATGAGCAGCCATTCAAGCAAACTGCACTTATTTGCCATGGGACAGGAAAAAATTCACCCCTTTTTACCTTTCTTACAGGAGGCTTTACAATGAAGTCCTCATATGCATCTTCAGGTTTCACTGTTGTGAAGTTTTCATGTAAAATGGCAATTTTCTTTTCATTGTCCCAACCGGCAGGTCTATAAAAAGAAAGCAAGCTTTGCCTTTTCCATCACAGAACAACACTTCTACAGAAAGTATTTATTTACTGTCCTCTGCCTAAATCAGACAATTTTATTATAGGTCAGTCCTAATTCTCAGATAAATTTCAAAGCTGTTAAAAAGCTGGAATAGTGTAGTCTGAGTCAAGTAACCGAAGAAGAATGCACTAAGTTGTCTTTGTAATTCAGGATTTCAGAAGACTCACATGCTAAGCTTTTGAACCATGCAAAGCATTCATTTTATTTTTATGTATGTTATATGAAGTGTAGTGCTTAGTAGAAAACAATCTGAAACCATGCTGCATATAAATTAACTTACATAAAAACTGCATCCTTTTCTACCACTAAGGCAGGTGTGGTAAACTGAAAACCGTATGTTTTATGTACAATGTATTTATACAACAGATCAAGGTTCTTTTCCTCCTTAACTGATGTATAAATCAAGGCAGCCCCATCTGATTATTTATTTAAGGAAAATTATGGAAGATGGTTTTTAAATTATATGAAGAATTTCAAAACAGTAGCTAAAGGACTTATTTCTGTTAGACCTAATTTTGAGAATTTCCTTGCTTCCAGGTTACATCAAGTCTTCTCAGTGCAGGAAAGGATACACTGTAAGCAGAATCTACGGATGTGTGACTGAATGAAGTCAAAGTGCTCCTCTCTGTAATCATGCTCCTTCTCTAGTACACTCACTGCATCGCACTGGAAGAAAGGTAGAAAATCAAAACCAGAAAAACCCAGTCATTTAATCCCAGCACATCTTAAAACATCTTCCTTTATACTACACACACACATCACATTGAATTTGAGCCTCTGGTTTTAAAGGCTACCAATAAACAAAAAGATAAAGTATTTAGCATATACTTAATTAAGGTTTTTACCCTTCTGCAAAATTAAAGATTGACACTGATGGTAGAAGTATACTTTTAAAATAAATTCCTTTATAATTAACCCAGAATTCATTTTGCATGCCTGTATAAAGCATGCCTTCTAAAAAGAAAGTAATTAATCTTTTCCATTGTAGCAAACATAACTAGAAACTCACTTTTGTACAAACTACCAGCACAGGAATACCCAGGTTGTGAGTCAGCACATTTTCTCCAAGTGGCAAGGAAACATGTTCATCCTCTTGGCCAGAAGAAGGGCCTCTTCTCTGTGGTGATCCTTGATAGCCTTCTTCTGGTTCTACATACTCTTGAAACTCCTTTATAACTATTGAGAGAGAGATGATCTTAAGGTACAACAAAATAACTAGTTCTTCTTTTTAAATCATAATTAATCTGTGACTATCTAGAAATCTCAGCTTTTTTTTTTCCCCTTTTATAATGAGGTGCTACATGAGAACAAAATGCAAGCTTAAGCCTTGTTGCCCCTTCAAACACAACAGTTCTCCTCCACCAAAATTTACAGCAAGCTAAATCAAGTCCAATTTGGGAGTTGTTACAAATAATCAAAACTTGATGCAAAAGCTATAGTATGTACAAAAGCACGTTCCTCAGCTCAATGCATTTCATTATAGGGGAGCTGAAAACAGAAAATCTAAGTGCAGTTTAGCCACATAGCCTGTACTCAGTGTAATTTGTACCTAGTTTTGGAACACAGCATGGTGAAAATCTCAATGGATACAAAAAACACCAAGCTGAAACAGCCACTCTTTCTTATAAACTATCACCCAATTTAAATTTCTATTACTCTCCATTTCTGTTGCAGGAGTCCAATGCTAGCAATATAAAAAATATATCACATAAGTACAGACTCAAGGGCTTCTAAATGTTATCTGGAGAGACTCAGTTATATTCTGGAAAACTACAGTGGAATCCAGAGGAAACTAGATGCTTTCTACGTTTCCAGTGTTTTAATTTTATAGCAACAATGACTGTTCCAATACTATTGAATACGAAGTGCCTAAGAAATAGTATTAACAACATTTTGGAAGTGCACTGTGACTCCATGCATGCTTCATCAAAACTGGGCTGCAACTTCAAACTTTTATGTCTTTTTTCCAGAATGAAAGCCACAGACCAGATAAATCTGCCTACTGCATGTGTCTGCTCCCAGGCACAGCACTTCCCGAGGGCTCAGGGCTCTCCCTCACACACAATCCCACCTGAAGCCTCCTTGCTCAGCCATGAGGAGCTCTCAGGAAAGAGCATGATTTGCTCCCATGAAGGCATCTTTATTTTAGAAACCATCAGAGCCAGCTGACTGTACGTACAATAGGGAAAGTGCTTCCAAAAATCTCCCCATCTCCAGTACAGTCACAAGGAGAGTGTTGTTCAGTTCATCCATCCATGTGACAGGGAAGGAACTGCAACTGTACCGTGGGCCATCTGATACCTCTGAGGTTCAGCAAGTGGTAAAGCCTCAGGAGAGTTTATAATCTTACAAAATGAAGCCACGGTACCCTTCCAACACAGGAACCGTTCCAGCAATAGTACGGGCAAGTGGAAGGAAGAACAAACCAGAAAAAGGCTTCTGTTCAAAGCTGCACAATCTGCCATTTTTATTTGACATATCAGATTACACGATTCTTGTGGAAAACAGGAGAGCTCTAGTGCAGTGAAAAACTTTTAAAAACTACATTAAATATAGATCATAAGACTTCCAATTGCCAATTCATTATCCCAAGATCCAAGGAAGTAAAAATTCTGATGTAGTTGCTTTCAAACTTAGGAAGGCAGTGCCGTCTGGTGGAGGAGAAACAGCAATGCTTTCAAAGAGATGCTTTCCTCTAGTATTGTTTCATATTCAGCAACTGGAAATCAAAACTCCATCAAACATGCTTACTGACTATCTCACAGAAAGTAAATTAATTCCACAGCATTTAACTGTTTTTAAAAAAACAGGTTTTTATTTAATTACTCAGACTCTTCCTAGCTCAGGACAGAAAAAGAAACTATCGAAGACAAGTGTATTACAGCAGCTAAGAGAACACCACTGACATCCACTACACTCACTCTGACAAGCTCTCTGACTCTCTGACTTAATCAGATGTAAAAGATTATTTCACAAAACTGCTCTCAATTTACTACAGCATTATAATCAGACAATATTAAGTTTCCTAGATTTGACTCACATAAAAGAAAAATCTTTTCTTTACTGAGATACATATTAGTATAAAGCTCCTCCAATTTGGGAAAGAAAAGCCCATCTTGAAAACAGTAATACTCTGACAACATGATACAAATCAATATTCAAGATACCCCAAGAATTTTACTAATACAAATAATAGCAAATGCAACACAGAAACTTCACATACTCCTAAATTTCTGTGGAATGGGAATGACGACTGTAATCCTAGGAAGCTGAGATTCCCAAGCCTTCCCTCTCTCCAAGAGTAAGCACCACCAAAAACCATGCATCAGACCAGCAATCAACAAGGCCATACCCATGCATGGAGAGAGAAAAAAACTTCACTGTGGAGTTGAGCTGTTGTTGTGGACTGTTAATAACACACGGTCTGGCACTAGCCCCTGACTACAGGCTGAGATATGCTACAGGAAACACTCAGGTTCTGTTAACAAGGGCATCTGCTGAACAAGTAACTACTAGGGCTAGAAGTAAAAGCTATACTAAGAACCTCCAACTACAGTGTCTTGAAGAGAGATACATTTGTTTCTGAATTAAAGTGATTTAAATGCTTGTTAGTGATATGCTCTTTAAAAACACTCACTCAACCCCCATCCCATACAAACCTTAGTCTTACTAGATGCAAACAAACCTGCACCGCAAGTGCTGTCAGACTACTTATGAGCAACCTGCATTCTGCACAGCTAACAGAGAAGCTCACATCAGTTCAAGTGTTTCTTTGTCACACAGCCATTGAATACTTTTTCCTAATCTCCCATAACTATTTCTCACTTGATCTCTGCTCTCAAACCTAATGGGCATAAGGTTCATCGTGAGCCCAAACAGCTTTTTCTCTTTGTCTAGGGAGCTACGAATATTTCTTCCCCCATACAATTTGGCAATCACATTCTATATGCTATAGGAAATTATTATTTTCTTTATTAAGAAGTAGAGGAAATTACTTTGGTTTAATTTTTCTCAAACAGAAAATACAGGTAAGAGAATGCACATAAAACAGGAAGCCAGAAAAACAACTGTTTATCCAATAAGTCAGTAACATTCTGCTACCTATCAGTAAGGTTGAGTACTAGGAATGGCCTATTATATTTGCAAAATTATCAGCAAGTGACAATATGCCATAAAAATCACACCTCCACTACAGTGTACTAAACTATCAAACTTCTGGCTTATCTAGGCTTAGCCTTTTAGTTAGACTTCTGTATTTAACACAGCAAACAAAAGCAAGTTCCCCATTAACTGCTTTGTTCTCATGTTATACAAGTTACTGAAAGCTAACTACAACAAGAACAGATGCATCATCCATGTCACAGGAGCAACTCCCTCAAAGCACCACCAAGAAATCAATCCACAATTACTCCTAGGTTGGATTGTTCTAGTGGCAATAAACCCCTCACTCTTGAGGTACTGTTTAACTGCAATATGGAAATGGCAGGCAAATACCAGGATCTATTTAGCTAGACAGACCACAAAAGCACTGAACAGCATAACAAGAAAAATGCAAAAAATTGTCCTGAGACAATAACTACTTACTCTCCATTAAGTTTCATGCTCAATTCATGCAGCTTTTAGCTTTTCTGTGCACTACCTTTACTGATCATAATTTTTAGTCTTGCGAAAAGAATTCCTAGACAAAAGATGTCTGAGCAAAGTAAGTTCTTTTATCTCTTAGTTTACAAATTCAACTCGAATGGGACATTACTTAATTTTTAGAAAAATATGTTATTGTGTTTCAAGTCTTTAGTTTCAGACACTGCAGAGGACATGAATATAATAGCCATTTTACCAGTATACTTCCCTTTTGCATTTCTTGGTTCTTGACAGTCCTCTTCTCTGCTTTGCTGTCATATAGGGAGGCAAAATTTAGATCTTCCCTGAAATAATTATTCAAACGTGTGTTATTTACACAATGATTTATCATAATTGAGCCTGAATTAAATTACAACATTTGAACTGACATAATTTATCTGAATCCACACCAGCCAAGCTTTCAGCAGGGAATTTCCAGAGCAGCTCAGTGACAGGACTGAGTGGAGACAAATAATGCTCTTGGTATACTCTGAATAACTTCATTTCTTCCAAGGCAGCCTGTTGCTTCATGTGTGTCCCGCTTCTCATTCTGGAAGCTCTTTGACACAAAAGGAAAGCTTCTCACATGATGGAGCCTAGCCTCACCCACCCAGTAAAACCAAGAGTCGGCATCTCATATAGCAAACACAAGACAAAAGGCTGGGTGGAGAAAGGCCATGAAAACCTTGAAAGCAAAGACAAGCTGTCCAAGGTTCACTGAGAACAGTGAGCTAACAAAAGGATTCCTGGAAACTGGTAATAAAATCTTAGTAATGGAGAAAGCCCAGCCTAGCAGCATTTTAAATGGACAATAATGGGCTAATACTAGAAGATGCTTCCCCAGTTCCACCGGAGCGCTGGGTTACTGGTACGGAGCACAGCAGCCAGGGAAAGCACTGCAGGCATTCAGCCTGGCCCGCGTGCCCCAGCCTGTACCTGGAAGCAAGCACAAAGGAGTGTGCTTCTGCACACTGGAGTCAAGAACCACGTGCACCCACGTGGGGCTTCAGCACAGGGAATTCAGCACAGCTCTTCTCTTTGCACCCTGCTTCCCTCTGCTGACTGACTGCTCTGCATATGCGCTCCGTTATCCCAGCTTTTCCTATTTGGGATATTGCAACGCAGCGATTCCCCATTTTCTAAGTGTGCTGGTGGTGCAGCTTTATTGAGGGACTGTAGTCATGAGGCATTCTCCTGGCTTTTGTCATTTGCAGTTAAGAGAATTACAAGATATGGTGGCTGAAGTTTTGAGCACAGACCTGGCCTTAGAGGCAGTCTGCAATAACTCAGAAGACAAATAACTGAGATGAAACAAGTATCCTAACACAGTGACAGAGAAAAGGAGCAAGGTGGAACTTTGGGAACTGAGACGTTAAGGTCTCTGTTCTACCTGCATGCCAGTATTGGACCAAGTTCACCGCTCAGCCATAGGATGGCAGCAGAGTCCTGCAAGCATGTCAGTTCGGCAGCTCTCAAATCTTCCTTTCCCCTCCACTCTACTGGAGTGCAAGAGAAACTAGAAATTTCTACAGTACTTCAATATTGGAATTTCCAAGGCAATACTATTAGAATGTCTTCTAGGTCCTCCAAAGAAGGTGCTAAAGCTTTGCCACAGCTCTAACTGGCTCCTCCACACAGTACACATAGCCAAGGCTGGAAACATTTCTTGGCAAAAGTAAAATTTAAGCACACAACCTTCACATTTATTTGGATTGCCATAAAATCTGATGTGTCCCAGAAAAGTGCAGACTGGGTTAGCTCCTGTATTGTGAGACTAGAACTGTCTTTTCATCTTCCATTCCCAAAAATTTTTTACCCACAAAAAAGAAAACCACACCCACACTTTTTCCCATTAAAATTGTCATATTTTACTTACTTTTTTTTTCCCAATATAACCTGGTGATCAAACCCAGGTGGTTTCAATCCTTAAGTTTCAACCTTAGCTAGCATGTTGTAGGCACAAGCCTTTTGGGAAAGTAATACTTAACATTAAGAAAGGCTATCAGCCATACAAATACATCTGAATTCTCACAGGCCAAATTCCCCAATGTGGATCTAAGGAAGCTACTTGACAGTACTGAACACAGCAGTGCAGCCAGCAACCAGCAAGGATCAGTCTGAATCTGCAGTTCTGCTGAGAAGTGCATGTTGCTAAGGTCTCTTCCCCTGAAGTAATTTATTTTGGAGTAATTTATTTTGAAAACAGAAAAAACTCTCAAGAAGCATTCAAAACTATTTTAGGAAAGCAAAGAAGCTGCAGGAAATAACACTGCAGCAATGACTGCTTGCCAGTGCAAGATTCTTTCCTGCCGCAGATATGCCAGGAAAGAAAGATAATTTATACAACATTCCTAAAGTCACAGGGTAGGAATGGCTGTAGTGAGAGACAATTACATGTACCAGGATCACAGGCTGAGCCTCACAATCAGCAAGGCCAAAGAGACCTACTGGAAGACAAACACAGTATGGGAATAGGACCTTGCTCAGATACCACAGGAAAGCAGACATCTCATTACTGAATTCTGTCACTGTTTTTAAAAACAGGATTCCATATGGAGGGTTTTTTCCCCCCTCTTAATTAGCCTTTTTAAAAATCAAATTCAGAATCTTACCACTGGAAGGGATTTAGACCATTAATTCACCTGATGCTTTGTTAGTGCAGCAAAATTAGAAGAGTTATTTTAAAGCCTAATAGAGTCTATCTGAATTAGAGTTGTAATCACAACCTCAAAGTAATTCTTATCCAAGCTATTCTCAGAACACTGCTACGAATAAATTTATTATTACAAAGGAAAGTTTCAAGAGCTATTAAAAAAATGGGGTGGGGGTGTCAAAAATGTATGGATGCACAAAGACTTACACTTCTGTTCCATGTCTCTCATCTCTTCTGGAGGGATTTTCATCTTATCAATATGTTCTTGTAAGACACTGGCCCATTTCTGTAAAGACTCCATAACAGTCCAAGGTCTAGACATATCTGCAACAAAGACTACAATGGTGTCTTGCAGGGATTCTGCAGAAACTGCAAACTTCAATAGCCCTTTATGGTATAAGTCGCCATCCAGAATCCAAACGTTGCAGCGAGTATGATCTGCAAGGGAAAGGCACACTGGTAACTCAGCTTGCTCTGCTGGGCTACAAGGGAACACAGGAGCACAGTAGTGTTAAATGGAAGCCCAAAGCCCAGCTATCAGCACATCTTCCCTGCTTATTTTCAAGACAGGTGCATGTGTAAATGCCTACATTACTTGGTAGATGCTTGCATTTAACAGGATTTTTTTTCTTAGTTCCACATCTTTTCATTTAAAAAAGTAATTTCTCTTCCTTGGCTTTTACCAAAAACAGCTGACAAAACACTTTTTAGATGCTGTACAACATTTCTGAATTTGACATATGTAAACTGCAAAGAAAACCTGAATACATGTGACACACATATAACTTCAAGTTCAAAAAGGGGGTAGCTATAGCTGAGTCCAGCAGGGAAGCATTAGGTGTCCCTCAGACATGTAAGCTGGTTTAACATACTAAAGACATCTCACAAGAGAAATAAGCTGCAAACAAGATACAAGCAATAAGCAGCTTATGTTTCTAGCACACGAGTAGGAGGAGCAAACACAGGATAAACTTACAACCTAACAAACTTCACAGTTGTGCTACCTGCTCTTAATTCACACTGACTTAACACTGGCTCCTACTTGCAGGTGACTTACAGAACGAGTACTGGACAAACTATCTGGTTTTTTTTGGTTTGTTTGTTTCTCCCTTTGTTTTGACAGCAACTGGACTTTTTTTTTTAAATGCAAGGCATGGAAGGATGGGAAGAACCATCTGGGACAGACATCTGGCACGAGTTTTATCCCAAACCTGAACTTTGGCAAGAACAGAAGAAACTGAAACATCATCCAAGAATCATGTATCAGGTACTCTGAACAATCAATTCTGTCCAAATAAAAAAAAAAAAAATAAGAAAAAAAGAATACTTATATTAACCTCAGAACTTCCTCCTGAGAAGAAACAACTCCATTTGTTTCTATCTTCTACACTCTTCCTCGCACCTCTTCCAAAGTATTTTCTATTTCACAGCTGTCCAGAGGCAACAGTGAGTCTCCACAGCTACTACTTATAAGACAAGTGAAACCTGACATACATGGGTCAGCAAACCCATCACTGCAGAGCCCAGATTTGCAGAACAGCTACTGAGCTTCATAATTACTTTGCCTCACTGTATTTCCCTGCCCTGTGCTCCAAATCTTTTAATATCACAAAATAAATCCAGCTGCTGTGGCTATTATAACTTTACTCTAGGAAATAATCTATCAGGATCAAAACCACTGTCTCTAGAAAAAGGCAAAACTTGACTGAGGAAGCTGGAAAGAGAAGTACAGAGATATACATGCTACCCTTCTAATCAGGTCTTGGAAAAAATGACTTAACAGCCAAGTTACAGACAGATTACATCAAGATACTATATGTGGGCGGTCTCCATTTAGCATTTGTTATGCTCCTACTTAAGTACTGTTAGGTGGTCACAAGACATTCAGACATCAGTCATCAAACAAACAGGCCAACAGTTTGTTATGCTTAACTTAAAGATCTCCTAACTCCCAGCTGTGCATCGCAGATCCACCCTTTGCAATAAACATCCACAATAATCATGTCTCTAAGAAATGCACCTTTCTATACTCATCATTCCCCCTCTACCTGCCCCCTCTTCAGGAAACTGCCTCACTGATACCACACAGGATTCTCACAGCACTGTTGTACGACTCTAAAGCTAACAGAAGACAGTTCCAAAGACACGGGGGAAATCTCACATAAGTTTGAGAAAACAAGCTAGGACATTGTGAACACATTTACACAAAAGGAAATGAAACATCTATGCAGGACTCTGCTATCCTCTGCATTCCAGAAGCATCCTTTCTGCAAGCCTTCTGTCAGTTAAAGGTTATTAACAGACATTAACTGTTGCAATGCACAACAGTCTCCTTGAAGCATACATGGAAGTTTTAAAAACCTACCTTAAGTCCACCTATAGTCTACAGAAGTTTACACCTCTCATCACCACTTTCAAAAGATTCTCCTGTCATGAGTGCTCTGACCACAGATAAGACTTTCACACCATAGCAAGTAATAAAAATGAATAAACATCCTAATTCATTGATTCTAATTCACTTTTTTAAACAAGTATCTAAAGATTACAAAGGTTCAAAGGTTTTGTTTGCTAAACATCTTTGTCCTACTTAAGGATATCATTTCTGCTTAAGATCTAGAATACAGACTGGAACTACGAAAGAACTGGAACTAGAATGCAGAAATACTACTCAAACAAAATCAATCTGCTAGAAAGACTGGAAGCCCAGTACTCCATTAAAATGTATTTGAAAAAGGTAATGTTGTAGGAAGATGAAAGGTTTTGTCCCTTTCTTACAGCAAGGAGGTACAGCTTGCGATTTACATTTGCTACAAATACAAAACACTTAAAAATATAGCACTCGTTGCTCATTTGGCAAGGACTCAATGGCAAATTCAACTTTGTCAGCACCACATCAAGCTCCTAGTCAGTCACGTGATGGCAACGTCAACTGGGCCCTTCATAGTGGTTATGACATGAGACACCAAAACAGAGCAATTGCCAGGTCCTGTCAGAAAAGCTGGTACTACTTATTAAAGACTATTGTAAGAGCTGCTAAAACTACATTTTCAAATCCTGACAATATTTCATTATCCCTTTAGCCATGAAAAAGATTTTCCAGCTTTGATGAATTTTAATGCAGATGGTTGATTCTGTAAACTGTAACAGCACCTCCTGCATTTATTCAAAAGGTCTAGTGGTAATTGGATACACCTTGTCCAAGCTGTGAAGAGAAGCAAAACAGGGAAAATAATTTTCAAGAGAACTGCTTTAAAGATGTGGACAAAAAAAACAATTTTCCTATTAGAAACCAGTGTACCAGGAGCACTTGGCTCAATCTGGAACAACCAGTTCAACTGGAATATGCATATGGTATGACTGAGACCAGACCAAACTGGAGGCAAAAAACCAAGACTACCTGATTTTGTTACAAGTAAGAACACATCAACAGGATGGCTCTACTTCAGTGGCACACTCAGCACCGTGCAACTGTACTGCATTTGTAATCTGAAGCACTTCAACCAAAAGCTCTCTGTGGTGTTTGTAACTGCCAGCTAACCCATGCAGTGCTGCTACAACCCAGCCAACGCGTTTGTCTCGCTGCCTTGCTGCACATCCTCACTGTAACTCTGCCCCATCACTGCAAGAGACTCTGAAACCTACTCTAGAAATATGCATCCTTTAAGAAATTCACGCAGAGCCTCTCCTCTACCTCATACAAATCCTCAGCTCTCAAAAGCAGACTAACCAGCACAGACACGAAGCATCTCCTCACGACAAAGAAAGGAAAAAAACTAAAACTGGCCACAGTCTCTGAGAAATTCCATTAACAGAGGACTCTCAGGCCTGAGCTCCAAGGTCATTTAATATTCTGAGTTAACTTTACAGCTGGTGCTCTGAGTGCTCTCATCCAGATGACCCATGGTGTCATGTATGCAGAAGAAGCCATATGCTCCAAGGATATTGTACCTAGGGCTAATGATCTAGGAGAATCCTCTCTCCCTCCCTCAGGATTGCTTCTCAGGCATCCCCAAACCTCTTCTTGAGCAAAAGCCTTGGGTGAGGCAGAATTTGGGTTAGAACCCTAGGAAGGAGAGTTTCAGATAGAGATTCAGTACTGGACTTACTCTAAGTCATCTTGAGACCTAAGGACCAAAGTACTGCATGTTCCATTGAACAACTAATACCTAACAGAACAAACCCAGATTGTTAACCAATGCAGTGGCAACACATGTCTTGCTATCCAAGCTTGGAACCAGCCACTATCAAGAAACAAGCAGGTAACAGTGAAAAACAGTAAGTTAGTGGGCACCTGTATTAACCACAGGGGTCCTTCAAAAGAGAGGTGCTCTCTGGGCATTTGTTTAACTTTCCTACAGAAAAAGCACAATTTAATCACTGGTCTAATCTTTAGGTGAAAAGACAGAAGTAACTGTAAACTAAGATACACAACTACTGATTCAGAGTAATTCCACTTCAAATGTAGGAGGAGCCAGATTCAAATATCCCTCAAGGAGGAAGGGGCTGGGGAGTGAATAGGATAAGATTTCCAGAGGGAGGTGTGAGGTCGATAGTGATTCAGCACTATGAGGGAGGCGTTTCTCCTAGACAGAATAAACTCTTTTGAAATGAAGAAGAAAAAGGCAAGGACAGCAAAGAGATCTTTTAGAACCCAGGAAAGAAGTTGAAAAGATCTTCTCACTCCACTACAGAGTCTCAGTTACTAGTGCTGACTTTACACCCCTGGAAATTCTTGTAGTTTGCTGGTCTTGAATACACTGGGGTCTAATAAAAAGCAGGTACCCTCAAAAACAAGTATGAGCTGGTAAGCCCCTGAGCACCTGTCTTGAATTTCTTTATGGCTTCCAAGAATCATGGGTCAATGCTAAAGGCTTTGTTCCCAAATCTGTATCTGAGCAGAGACACACATCTAAAGCAAGCAGAGAGTTTAAAGAAACAAACCCAAACCTGTCCTACAGAAGGAAGAGTTATCTTTGTCTGCTGGGAGGTCCTGACCCACTTTACTATTTATTTTGCTTGCTGATGACGCTAATGAGAGAGAAAGGAAACAAGGATGTATTATTAGATCCTAACACATCCATTACAGCGGTGCACGAAGACCTGAATTCTCCAGCCCAGGCTGGGAGTCAAAACGGTCTCGTTTTCATGCTAGTGCTGCATGAGTTCTCATGACAGACTTCTCCTAGTCACCTCAGATACTTAAAATGTCCAGATACTCAGGCATAGCCCCAAAACATTTCCAAAGTGGGGACAAATTTGAGGTTTGATAGACAGCACCAGGAAAAACAGCACACCAAGGACTTTTCTGCTTATAATACCACCTCCTTTGATGTTGCAAGCAGGCTGATGTCACAGGCTGCCTTAACACTCCTACTCGCACGGGGTTTTTTCCCCCTAAAGTACATATGCAGTACTGAAGATTGTGCATGGTGAGAAAGCACTTACACCAAGAACCTCAAGAAGCCAAGAATGGCTCAGCACTTACAGCACAGAAGATTTTTAGCAACTGCAGGATTAGGCAACCACTGAAGATACAGGCAATGTACTCATCCTTTCGTTGTACCTAACTTAGCATCCAAAGACAGTTCACTGCCATGTGAGTGCAAGTCCAATCTCCATAACAACCAGTCACATATGGTACTTAATCACTCATGAAAGACTTCAGTACATTTCCTATTCCAAAATACCATTATAGAATCTTCTTGTTTCATTTGTTCTCAGGAACATGGATAAACCACCATCACTTCTTCCCTCTTCTGAACTCAAAGCTCATAGGGAAATCATGAGAAGACTGTCTTCCCTGCTTTTGAAGATGGTAACTAACACAAAGAGGTCCAGAAGTTTGCCCAAACTGAGACAAGCACAGGCAGATTTAGGAGCAAGGATAATGCACTCACTCTCCATGTCTTCCCGCCTCTAACCTTCCTAAACATGGGAGCATTCTAATCATAAGACCTGCTTTTCAACGGTCTCTTGTCATCCCCCTCATACACAGCAGAGAAGAGCAATCATCAACAGCAATGAAGACAGACAAGGGGCAAAGAGATAAGCACCAATTTGAGAAAAAGAAATACTAATTCTAATATCTGTTCTTCACTCATCAACTCTAACAAAATATCTCAGTTATAGTTAATCGACATTCCACACACAGCCCCAAGAAAACACCAAAACCCCAAAAGCCAGAAATCAATACTGAGAATTAAACTCTCATAGATGCATCACTTTCTATAGTTATCAAGTAATCATACCAAATGACAATACATCTGCTAGTAAGCCAACATCAGCAGAGGTATCTACCCTAAAAACAGAGCTGCTCAATTGTACTTCTCCTTCATACAGAGGTCAAGCTGTAAGAAGGGCAAGAGGGAGAATGTACACCAAATGTAAACTGCATTTCAGTTTTAAGAAATAGATGTAGCTTCTAAAACATACAGAAAAATGCTGGCACCAGTTACTTGGGTGTAGCTAAAGACACACTGATGAAACCAGTTATTAAAAAAGCATGTCAGCTACTTAATTGCAGTAAATAGATTACATATACACTGAACTTACCATCTCTGTCTTCATCGTGAATATTTAGATACAGGTATTCCAGCCCTCTTCCTTTCTTGCCATGCTCTGCTCCCTGTATTTTAGCCATAAGTGTGGTTTTACCTGAACCGTCATCACCTGCCAGTAAGTTTTTACAGGGAGAAGATACACTTTCAGAATTAATTTTAACTTCAGAGAAAAGACTTTCAAAACACATTTAAGCAATCAGAAGTATCCTTGTACATTTTTCGACCATATTTATTTGTTGTTTTCCTTCAAACATTCCTAGCTAAATCTGACAGCTTATAGCAGAAAAATAAGAATGAGGCACTCAGTTACTCTCTATTACATTCCATTTGTTTAAATGCATGTTAAAAAATCTAACAGTGTAAACCAAAAAGAAAGTAAATCTATCGGCCTGAAGACAGTAATACCATAGATCAAATTACATAACCCAATTTTAACAAGCTGATGCGTCAGTTTGCTTACATCATTGTTTTAAACACACTTTGTTTCTACAAAAAAAAAAAAAAAAAAAAACCCACACACCACAACCCACCGACTACTTGCATATATTACTTACCAAAAACAAGAATATTCTTGCCCGATGGCAGCTTAGATCTTGACCGGGTAGAAACTTCACTCAGTATCGAGGACCTAGAAAACCGGCACCGCGTTGTCAGCCGGACACGCCGGGGCCGCGGGCACACGCAGAACGCACCGATGAGCTCAGCGGATCTGCCCGCACCCACCCGGCCACGTTCGCTCTATTTACAAAGCAGGCACGATGTAACAGTTCAGGACTGAAGTTCCTTTTAAAAAGACCCAAAACATGCCACATTTCTGAGAAAAACTTTTATAATCTGTGAAACACGTCCAGTAATATCTAAAGTTTTGCTGCCTAACAAGAGGCCGCGTTCCTGCAAAACGCTACTTTTTAACCAATGAGTACCTCTTCTGACGATGCGGGGATGTATTTCACAGGCGATGTTTTCTGCCATTGTTAGTATGTTTAAAAACGTTACCCGGAGTGAAGCGAGGGGAAAAGCAGAGGCTGTTTGCCAGAGCCTGTCCCGCAGAGCACGGCTCCGCACAGCAGCCCCCCTCACCCTCACGGCGCCGCGGGCCCTGTTCGTGCGGCTGCGGGGCTGTGCCCG